GAAGATTGTATGTTTTGAGGAATTTGTCCATTTCACTCAGATTGCCCAATGTGTTGGCATATAGTTGACAGTAATATTTTCTTCCAAACCTTTGTATTTCACTGGTGTTAGTTGTTACTTCACCTCTTTCGTTTCTGATTTGTTACCTACAAAGGAGCTCCCATAAGGCTGTCAGCTTATTTCTCAACAGAAACACTACAGGCCAGAAAGGAATAGAATGAAGTATTCAAGGTAATTAAAAGCAAGGATCTGAAACCAATACTATTCTATCCAGCAAGGCTATCCTTCAAAATAGAAGATAAATAAAGAGCTTCCCAGAACAACAACAACAAAAAGGCTAAAAGAGTTTATTACCACCAAACCTTCATTGCAAGAAATGTTAAAGAGACTGCTGTAATAATAAGAAGAAATAGAGAGAGGAGAGAGAAACACAGGCATAAAGAATAAAAATGGCAATAAATAAGTACCTATCAGTGATATTGAGAATGGAATAAATACTCTAAGCAAAAGACATACAGTAGCTGATTGGATATGAAAACATGACCTACATATATGTTGTCTTCATGAGACTCACCTCAGAACAAAAGTCACCTAGGCAAGAATCTTTCTTTGTGGAAAATTTTAAATTAAACATTCACTTTCTTTGACAATATAAGGCTATCATTTCCCCTTATTTGAAGTTATTGCTCCTAAATTCCAAGTATTACTAATAAGAAGTTAGATGTCCATGTAATTCTAGTACTATTGTAAGTAACTTTTTTTCCTCTCGAGAAAGCTTATCTCAGAAAATTTTAAGGATTTTTCCCTTTATCTTGTTTTACAATTATATAAAGATGGTGCTAAGTGTGGATCTATTTTCATTCAACTTATTAAGCACTTGGTGGGCCCATATAACCTGCGGACTTGTTCTCTACTTTTTTTTTTTTACTTTATCAATTTTTAGAAAGAGAAAGGGAGAGAGAACCATTGATTTGTTGTTCCACTTATTTATGTATTCATTGGTTGATTCTTTTTTTTCAATCCTCATGAGGGGCGGGGGGCATCAATGTGAGAGAAACACATCGATTGGTTGTCTTCCGCACAACCCCGACCAGGGCCAGGGATGAACCACAACCAAGGTACATATGTGCGCTTGGCTGGAACTGAACCCGCTACTCTTTGGTCCATGGGCCAACATGGTAAGCACTGAGCCAAACCAGCCAGGGTATTGGTTGATTCTTATATGTGCTGTAACCAACTAAACTATCCAGCCAGGGCTTGTTCTCTATTTTTCACGTTTCTTTGACTTGAAGCTTCTTCCCTTCTTTTCCTTCTGTTCTCTTCTTCAACTATAAGACAGATTATGATGGCTAACCACTATGTTGTATAACTGAACTAATATACAAAATAATACTGAATATAAATTGTAATTAAAAAAAAAATTAAATAAAAATAATTTTTTAAAAAGTGAGATGATGGAACTTCTAGAGCTGTTCTTCATTTCCCCTAATTTTTCTTCCATGTGCTGTAGATCTCTGTCTTTTTGTGATGTAATATTGAATTGCTTGGCTCTTTCTTTTAGATGAAATCATTGCTCTTTGCTACTCAGCCTATCTTTGGAGTTTTTCATTTTTTTGCATCTCTTAATATATTATTTTTCCTAGTACTCTGTTCTTGTTTCTAGGGTCCTACAAGATCACTTACCATTTAAATATATTCTTCATATTTCTTTCATAATCTCTTCTACTCTCTTCTATTGTTTTCTCTGATGGTCTTTTTTTTTTTTTGAGTGCCTGTATTATTAGTTCCTATCATTCCTGTAATATTATAAACTTGGTAGCTTAAAAAAAAAAACAGAAATTTATTCTCTCATAGCCTGGAGGCCAGAAGTCTGAAATCAGTGTCACTGGGCTGACATCCGGGTTTGGGCAATGTCATGCTCTCTCCAGTCGCTCTAGGGGAGAAATCATTCTTTGCCTCTTCCAGCTGGTGGCTGCCAGCATTCCGTACTTTGTGACTACATCATTCCAATCTCTGCCTCTGTGGTTGCAATACCTTGTCTTCTCTTGTCTGTGTCAGATTTCCCATTGATTCTTTTTTAAAAGACCAATTGTGATTTAAGTCCTGTCTGGATAATCCACGCTGGTCTCCCCATCTCAAAATCATTAATTTAATCATATCTGTAGTCATCTTTTTCCCATTGAAAGTAACATTTACAGGTTCCAGGGATTAGGACCTGATGTCTTTGAGGACCATTTCAGTGTTTATTTTCCTAAAGTGATAAATAATTACTTTTGTTGGGTATTCATGTTTTCAAATATCTTACATGCTTATTTCATCCTATTCAGCATTGGGGAGGTGAAAATATTTAATCTCCTGGGAAGTGGGAGGAACTTTCTTGATTTTTTTTTTTTCGTTTGATTTTCTTTATTTTCTAAAATTTATTTTATTATTTTTTATTGCTGAAAGTATTACAGATGTTCCCCCCCCCCTTTTTTCCCATTGACTTCCTCCTTCCATCTCCCACCCCTCTGCCTTCCTCAGCCTAGTGTCCGTGTTAATTGGTTGTGCATATATGCATATAAGTTCTTTGATTTATCTCCCCGCCACCCCATTTCTCTGAGGGTTGTCAGTCTGTTCCCTACTTCCATGTCTCTGGATCTCTTTGTTCAACAGCTTATTTTGTTCATTATGTTCCGCAAATAAGTGAGATCATGTGGTACTTGTCTTTCTCTGACTGGCTTATTTTACTTAGCATAATACTCTCCAGGTCCCTCCATGTCGTCTCAAAGGGTAAGAGATCATTCTTTCTTAGAGTTGAATAGTATTCCATTGTGAAAATGTACCACAACTTTTTAATCCACTCGTCTACTGATGGGCACTTGGGCTGTAGAAACTTTCTTCCTGATTTCAGTAAAACGTTAGAGCTGTGTCTTGCTTCTTGGCTTCCCGTGCTTCTAATTATTGTTCCTCTTGGGAGCAAACAACTCTGTTGTCTGCAATTTGGTACGATGGGATAATACTGTAAGGGCTAAACCACCTTGTTGGGTCATCAATGAAACTGCAAAGAGTGGGTACCACTGTGGCCCCGAAGCTCCATTATTTTTTAGTATCTGGGAACTCTAAGCTTGGAATATTAAGAGTTACACCTACCTTTTTCAGTAGCCTTCTCCTGACTGAGTTTATTTGGTTTCTTCCTCTAATCTGATCCCAACTGCTTTTTGTCTTTCAGGGTTCCTTATAACTTCTGGATCACAGAGAAAACTCTTCTTGCTTACTTTCCAATATTTTTACAGTTTTTTTTTACCCCTAAATATCATTTTTGGATGTTTATTTTCCCCCAAAGATCTTAGAAACACTTGGGAGGTTAGAGTGTTTATGCCATATATACCCTTGGTTGAAAGTCCATCAATCTTTAAATCACTTTTAATTTTCTCACATGATTGCCATCTTATCTTTATTTGTGCCTACCAAGTTGTATGGCTGTATCTTCCCTAAGTGGCTCACATTTAAAAATATTTTAATAAGTAACTAGATCCTACAAAGTTCTGAAAACTTAAATTAGCCTCTTCTGAAGCCTTTCTATTATATATTATATAATATACATTCTCTAATAGACCATTTCATTTCACTATAGAGTGTGATTAATAGTTAAAAAGTTATACAGGCTGGGGCAAAGTAGATTTATAGTTGTGAATACATGAAACACAGAATTTATTCTTATATTATTATTTATTAATTATTGTGTTATTTTCCATACAAACAACTGTAAACCTACTTCTGCCACACTCTGTATATATAGTAACAGGACTAAAAAAATTTCATGTTTGAGGAAAGACTCTTATTTGTGATAGGCTAAGATATTATTCTAAAGAACTCCTAAGTTGAAAAAATAATACCCTACTTTTTTCTAAGACTGATTAAATTGTCTAAAAAATAACTTTTAAGTAGTTGTGCTATACCAAGGAACAAAAAGATGAAAGGTTTCTTATAGAGCTAAATGCTTTAAGAGAAAACAAAAACTGCTGTGTACAATTCTATTTTTAGAATTAAGAAAACAGCATTAATTTAAGATTGGATCATTCTTAGGTTAACTACCACCACATGTGGCAGATGTTTGCTCTTAAAGAGATGCCAATTCAATATATAGGGAGTAATTCAAATTTAACATTTATAATTAAACTTGAACCTCATTCCAGATCTTCTCAAGTCAGCAGTTATAAACTACATAAACTTTGTTTATTTAGAGGCATCAATGGAATAGTAATTGATACCCTAAGGATATTAAAGAGTTAATGCAATTTTAGATAAATACTAAAAGCCCCGGCACAGTAGTTAGGGCCCTTGAGCTTGAGTCCCGTAATTCTATTTACTGGGGCGGCTCTGGGTCCCAGTTTCATGATGTACAACATGAAACCACTGCATTAGCTATCTCTAAGGCATTTCTCTTCACTCTTCTTCATGCCGTGGCATACACAGAAAATGGTAACGTACCAAACGAACACCTACCTGGAATAAAGGGAGACTGTTACTCGAGGCTGGGAGCTGGCTTCAATAATCTCACACTCAGAGTTGTGGGATCAGTGTCTCAGTGCACCTGTAGCCCATCTGTGGCATACCATTGTGTCTTGGCCCACAGTTTGGGAAACTGTGACCTTGCCACTCTAATTGTGGTCTACAGACTAGTCATTTTGGCACTCCTCGGAGCTTGTTAAAAATGCAGAATCTTGGGCTCCACACAGACCTACTAAATCAGAATCTGTATTTTAAAGATTCCCTAGTTGATTCATGTGCACATTAAAGTTTAAGAAGTACTGCTCTAAGAAATTTCAGCTCCAAAATTTAATGAACTTAAGAATCTGTTTTATAGAAGTATATTCTAGAGCATATTTCATAATCTTATTAAATGCCATATTACAATTAGAGTACAATTAAAAACACATTTTTACACATATTTTTTCCTAATTTTTGAAAACAGGCAAATGTTTACTTTTTAAATAGAAGAAGAAAAATATATTTACCTGCTTGTATACCTGCCGTAGGTACATGATCTCCTCCACAGTTCCCAAGGATATCAGCCTAAACACTTTGACATCCCTGCACTGCCCAATCCGATACGCTCTGCAAAAAATTTAAAAACAACAGCAAACAAAAATCAAGTGAAACAACTCTGGGTTCAGCCAATATCTCTTGGATATAAAAATGAAACATTAGTAAAATTTTAATTAATTTAAAAAGAAACATTTTATGTTTATATATGCTATAGTATTTGATAATAATGTAAAATAGAAATTCATATAAAAAATAGTCATGGAGGAGAAAAGTATTATAAAAACGTACATATCAAGTTCATTTCTGTTACAAACATCACCTTCCACTGTCCAAAAACTTTTCTTAAATTTAGATTTTTCTTTAATAGTGGTCTTAAGCTTATGAATGTTTCCAAATGGTTCCATTTATATAAAACTCTCAAAAATGCAAATTAATCCATAGTGCTTGGGAATAGGGAACTGGGGAGGGGCAGTAGACATGGATTAAAAAGTAGCAGAAAGAAAATTTGGGGGGTGATAGATATAGTCATTAATTTTATTGTGGTAATGGTTTCACAGTTGAATGCATATATTAAAACTTATTGTCTACTTTAAATATGTACAGTGTATTGTGTATTATACTTCAATAAAACTGTTTTAAAAAACAACCTGGGGAAAAGCAGTTAGTCAACTGGTAAGCCCATGGAAGTGCAGATTTATGGTCCTCATTCAGACACTTCCATGGGGTCTGTCTGACTGAATCACTCAGTTGACTAGTACCCCAGGTGTTTTGGTAGGAACTGCAGTGCTAATTAAAACTCTAACCTGACTCACGACGCTGGTTAACTATGGTTCTAGTCCCTGCAGCTTCTCCCAGGTGGAGGCTTTATTAGATGCTCTGAATGAGGTCACCTGCTTCTAAATACCTGTTACAGTCACCAGGGGGGTCGAGGGCAAGGCCATACTGCCTCATGCTTGAAAATGTTACAATTTGGGGGTATTTAAGTTTGACCTTGTAAAGTTACTCTATGTTGTTACAGTGGGTGTCCCTTCTGCCTCCTTCACCCATGCCTCCTCACAGAGAGGGGCTTTACAAGAGGGTATCAGAGATTCAGAAAGCTTACACCTCCCCAGGAGAATGGGGGCTCCTGTGACAGCTAAGAGTGGTAGTCACTGCCACCCTGCAGCCTAGTTGCAGATGGGCCCATTATCCCTCTTCCTCCCACAATGGATGTGGGGTCTAAACATTTTTTAAATGGACTTAAGAAAAGTCTTTGGGGTGTATGGCCATCCAATTGTTTGGTGAATGGACTAGATGGTTAGAATATGCATTCTTCAATCCATAAAGACGAAAACCTTGTATACATGCTACTTTGGATCTATGCTTCATTTTCTTGGTCCATAAAGCAGGGTTATGCTATACAAGTGTTGAGAAACGGTTACATAGTATGGAACTCAAGATCATTCTTTTCTAGGTTCCTCCTAACAGAGTCAAGGAAAGGGGAGGGAGGAGAAGAGCAATGCTGTTTATTTAGTTTTATTGTCAACTGACTTTCATTGAGTACCACAGCTGTGCTTTAAGGCAATACTGGGATGAATAGACACTAGGTCTTGATGGTTGAATGAAAAGGGACAAAATTACAACAAATACCATAAGACAAAGAAAAATAAAGATTTTTCTGTGGTTTTCATTGGACCATTTTACTTGACTGTCAGGGGCAAGAGGCTGCTTAAGGATGTAGGCTCTGTAGTAAGGTGTCATGAATTCAGATCCTGACCCTGCCAATTACTGGCTGTACACTTGAGCAAACTACTTGAGTTAATTTTTTGCTTTTATTTTATTTATTTTTTATGTTTTTTCCTCACCTGAAGACATTTTTCCATTTTTTGTTCTGATAGAGTGGGAGGGGGAGAGAGAGAGAGAGAAACATTGACGTGAAAGGGACACATCGAGTGGTTGCCACCTGCACGACCCAACCAGGGCCGGGGACAAACTGCGACTGAGATACATGCCCTTAGCGGGAACTGAACCCGGGTCTCTCTGGACCGCAGGCCGATGCTCTAACTGCTGAGCCAAACCGGCCAGGGCGAGCCCTTAATAATTTATACAACTTCCTCACATGTGAAATGGGTATGATACTAGTGCCTATCCAATGAGGATATTCCGAGTATTAAATGAGATAATCAGTGGAAAGCAATTAGAACAACGTCTGGCTCACAAACATGCAATTAATTTTGCTGTTATTTCTTTGTCCTTATTCTTATTGCCAATTAAAGAACTAAGGCTAACTTCCTTTGCTTTGTACCCAGCACAGTATTGTGTGTATTGTAACTGGGGTGATCTTAATAGCACAGCGTATTATAAACTGAATTATATCTATCAAGTAAATAGTAATGAATAATTTTAATTTCTGCAAGGACAAAACTAATTCATATCTGACTTGCTTTGACTGATATATTATCTGACACCTTGTAAATACTAATTGATCGATAAATATTTTTGATATTTATCTGTATAGGATTGGGGAAAAAAAGGAAATATCTCCATTAAAAAAACACAAAACATAACTGGGTCTCAGTCCTTCAAAACGTTGTACATCTTTCTCCTTTCAGTTTCTTCTAAGGTTAATTATTTTTTCACATCATCTTTAGTCAGTCTTAATCATTTATACTCTAGAAAATGTTAGATGTTATAAATAAATACATTAAAAAAAATCTTTATTGTTGAATGTATTCCAGATGTTCCTTATTTTTCCCCCATTGACCCCCTCCCTCCTCCCCACTCCCGCCCCCCTCCCGCCTTTTCCCACACTGTTGTCTGTGTTCAATGGTTATGCATATAAGTTCTTTGGTTTATTTCTTCCCGCCCTCCAACCTCCTTCCCTTTGAGGTTTGTCAGTCTAGCAATAAATTTGTAGCTCTTAATCCCTTCACCTTTTTCACCCATTCCGCCAAACCCCCTCCCATCTGGCAACCAACAAAATGTTCTCTGTATCTATGAGAATGTTTCTGTTCTGCCTGTTCATTTTGTTTGTAGATTCCATTGTCAATAGATATGTTTTGTTTGCTCATATATTTTATCTTTTTCTTCAAAAAGACCCTTCATCATTTCATATAATAACAGATTGGTGGTGATGAACTCCTTTAACTTTTTCTTGTCTGGGAAAGTCTTTACATGGCCATCGATTCTAAATGACAGCTTTGCAGGATAGAGTAATCTTGGTTGTAGGTTCTTGCTTTTCATCACTCTGAATATTTCTTGCCACTCCCTTCTGGCCTGCAAAGTTTCTTTTGAGAAATCAGCTGACAGTCTTAGGGGAACTCCCTTGTAGGTAACTAACTGCTTTTCTCTTGCTGCTTTTAAGATTCTCTCTTCGGCCCTGGCCGGTTTGGCTCAGCGGTTAGAGCGTCGGCCTGCGGTCCGGAGAGACCCGGGTTCGGTTCCCGCTAAGGGCACGTACTTCGGTTGCAGTTTGTCCCCGGCCCTGGTTGGTCGTGCGGGTGGCAGCCACTCGATGTGTCCCTTCACGTCGATGTTTCTCTCTCTCTCTCCCTCCCACTCTATCTGTACAAGAAATGGAAAAATATCCTCGGGTGAGGATAAAAAAAAAAAAAAAAAAAAGATTCTCTCTTCGTCTTGAACTTTTTGCATTTTGATGATGATGTGTCTTGGTGTAGGCCTCTTGGGGTTCATCTTGTTTGGGACACTCTGTGCATCCTGGACTTGTATGTCTGTTTCCTTCACCAAGTTAGGGGAGTTTTCTGCCTTTATTGTTTCAAACAGGTTTTCAATTTCTTGTTCTCTCTCTTCTCCTTCTGGCACCCCCAATATGCGAATTTTGGCACACTTGAAGTTGTCCCAGAGGCTCCTTACACTATCCTCATTTTTTTGGATTCTTTTTTCTTTTTGCTGTTCTGATTGGGCATTTTTTGCTTCCTTACATTCCAAATCAATGGTTTGCATCTTGGATTTACGTACTCTACTATTGAATCTGTGTAAATTATTCTTTATTTCAGTTAATGCCCCCTTCATTTCTGACTGTGCATCCTTCATTTCTGACTGGTCCTTTTTTATGCTCTTGAGGCCCTCACTAAGTTCACTGAGGTTCTCACTAAGTTCACTGAGCATCCTTATTAGCAGTATTTTGAACTCAGCATCTGTTAGGTTGCTTATCTCCATTTCGCTTAGTTTTTTCTTGGGGTTTTGTTCTGTTCTTTTGTTTGGGACCTATTTCTTTGTCTCCTCATTTTGGCTGCCTCCCTGTGTTTGTTTCTATGTTTTACTTAACGAGCGGTATGGGGCCATCTGAGACCAGATGCTGCTTGTTTGAAAGAACTCAGGAAAACCTGAAGCAGGATCCAAGACAGGCCAATCCTATGGTTAAGCAAGTGGCAACAGCTTAGGTGGGCCTGAAAGTTGGGTGGGGCGGGGCGGGGCCTCAGGGAATCACCAGGGCGGGGCTACCAGTGTAAGCCAGGTTGCTGAAGTCCCAGATATAGCGACTGTCTGCCACCCCAGGGAAGGGCTCACCAAAGGAACAAAGGCCTCTGACAGCACGTTTGTCCCAGAGAAAGCCCCCTCTCCAGCCCTCGCTCCAGTGCCAAACAGCTCAGTTCTTCCCTGTAAGTCTCTGGTGCCCCTTGAGCTGCCTCCCCTCCGAGCTTAGAGGGAGAGAGTCCGATAAGTCCGTGCGCGGGCCCTTTAAGGAGCTGCCTAGGGCTTCAGCCACCTCAGCTTCCCTGAGCCTCAGTTCCTGCTGGTTTTTACAACCAGAAGTTATGGGGATTCTCTTCCTGGCACTGGAACCCTAAGCAGGGCACCTGGTGTGGGATGGGGACCCCTCAGTCCTCAAGAAGGACCTTCCCAGCTGAGGTGTCCTCCTGATTTTTATCCGCCACACGTGGGTGTGGGACCAGCCCGTCCGCCTCTGACCCTCCTACTAGTCTGGATGCAGCTGCTTCTTTAATTCCGTAGTTGTAGGACTTCCATTCAGCTTGATTTCAGGCAGTTTTGAATGATGGTTGTTCTGTAGTTTAGTTGTAACATTGATGTGGTTGTGGGAGGACGCGATACTGCGTTTACCTACCCGC